GAACAGCACAGCGGGCTCATTGAGGTGGGTCATCATGGCCATGTCCTCCATTTTATCGTACTTTGGAGGGTTCATGGCGTGAATGTCTTCTTCCTTAACTGTGATGGTCTGGTTTAAAGAGACACAGTGATTTGTTCTGAGATATGGGCAAAGTCACAAAAAAATGACATTTAAAATAAAATTGCTTTGTAATTGATTGATTACCATACTTCAAGTAGGACATATTTAACAATGAAAAGCTTAATAAGTTTGTACTAATGATCTGTAATTAATCTGTTAGGTACACAGTTGTACTTACTTGCCCACACAAAGTCTTAACAGTGGCTTTGCCCCCCTCTCTACTTTGAAGAACCCCTTTGAGGTACATCTCCTTCGGTTCAGTCACGAAATAGGCCGTTTTGGCATCAAAGGGTTTGCTCTGGGCTTCAATCCTCTCTTTCTCTGGCTTCCGGAGGTAAATGGCCGCCGGGCCAAAACACTCCATTTCTCCATCCCCCATGATGACAGTTTACTGAGGAATTTAAAAAGCAATTATCAATAATCTATGATTAGGCACAATCACGAGTCACATAATTCTGTTAATGAAATATGTGTTGCATTCATATTAAATATCTGATTTTTTTTTTGATTCATTCAAAACTATTTTCATGATAGTTTCATGAAGCCTATCTGAAATGTAACATGTTTGACATTTAGTTGATTGATTCAACAACCTTTGATATATTTTTTTTTGGATATGGTGATAAGAATAAATATTATAAGCCAAAATAGAAAAAAAAGAAATTTAAAATGGCATTACAACTAGACAGGTAGCCACATGGCTTTTAACATAGCTGTGGATTTTCAGATCAGCGCTGTTTTCAAATGATGTTTTATATGTAAGATACAGAATTTACCTTTTCTGGTTCCAAAACAAGAGAAGGGAAGTTAGTTTCTTTTGATGCTGAAAATTGAAAGATATAATCATTACATGCTTTTGTTCAAAGACAATCAATTTTATCTTAATGTGGCAAGAAATTACTAGTCTCAGAATCTACATATATGTATATATATACATAAACACACATACATATGTACTTATGTAATGAATGAATGTTAATGTATGAAACCTGAATGTGAGGTATGTATGTATTTATTATTATTATTATTGTGCCATGGTATTGACAGTTAGAATACATAATATTAAAGTTATTATTTAAAAGTAATTATTCAATGTAACAAATAACTAAGATGATACAGAAACAGTGTTTTCATGCACATACCTGTGCTGGGTGTCTGTCAGCTGTTGGAGGAGTCTGGAGCTGCTGATTTTATAGGGAGCTTTGTGGTTGCTCAGCAGAAAGACCCTGCTCTATTTGGTCATGTATTTAGGCCCTTTAAACAACAGTTCTATATCACGGACCCCTAGACTTATTTTTATCTTATGTTACACCCTGGGCATTTAAAACTTCAATTTGAAACTGGTAGATGTTATATAATAAAATATTATGAAGAATGTCTTTGTATTAATGTCTTGTGCTGTAAAGTTTAATGATTTCAATATACTGTATTTAATGTATCGTGACATTAGATATGCCAAAAGACTTACATCTATACACATTAGGAATGTCGTACATTTTGGAAAATGTTTTTGATACATGTTAAGTACACAGATCACCGAATCATTTAGCTATGGGATGTATGATCTATAATAGTTTTCAAGCCTTTTTAAAACATTGTGTGTTGTTCACTTTTTTTTTTTAGATGAACGTACAATCAGGTAATATTGGGTTTATGCACACTTCAGCAAAGAGTCAATTTAGCTGTGGAGAAGGCTACACCTGTTGCTGGCATGCTACTGCTGAGCTTCTGCTACTTGTAAATCTTTATAAATAAGCACATTTGGGACTGACAGCTGTCATTCTTTGAGCATGAGAAACGTGCTCCTCGTGGTGTTCCAGTACAGCCCCCTGTGACATTTCAACAAATTTGGTGTCAGCAGATTTCCTTGAAGTTAATTTCAATATGTAATGTTTTGAAATTATTTAAATTAAGTTCATTGTTTGCATTTGAATCACTGGATGCTGATACATTGGCTGGAAAATCTGTCAGTATTAATATTTCCTTTTTAATTGTGTTTATTTGCACATATTTATTTCGTAAGTTAAGCTTATGGTGATTTTTGTTTGCTTTATATGGGATGATTTAGTAATTAAATGATGGCTTATTGGTCTCACACCTCTGGGATGGTTTGTTTGATTCCTCCTGCAGTTGTATGTATGGGAATTTCAATTTCCTGTTTGGCTGGACATGTCTAACCGATACTGCTTTTGCATGTGTGTGCCATTGTGGTGGATCATCATCTTGTTCAGATTTTGTCATGTGTTTGTTAGCAAAAAGCTCAATGTGCTTTGTGACTCTGCAGTAGATAAACAGTAATGGAAAATGGATCAGTGGATCTGATGGATGAAAGTTTATGTTCAACATACTCAAACTTTGTTAATTATCTGTTAAACAAGGTGTGAGCCAATTCAGGTTTGTGGAATATGCAACTGGTGAAACAAGTAACATTTTAAGAGCTCAAGCTGCCTTTTATTTTAGTATTAATGCTACTTTCATTATGGGTAATAAAAATGTAAACTTTGCTTTTAAGGCATGTTTAACACTATCTAAATATAATTGTGCAAATTGGGCCATAATAAAACTGATACATTTTTCTAGTGTTGAATCAATCATTTTAAAGGATCATGGCTGCACACAGGAAACATCTCAGATATCCATGCTGTATAGTTACAGATATTTTCCTAGTTTTCCGTTTATATTATTGGATATAAAATATTGACTTCTGACATCTATAGACTTATTAATGAGATTAGTTACTCCAGCAGCACACAGAGCTCAGCAGTGCTTCATGTACGTGTAACGATGGGTCCTGGCCTCATCAGAGTACACTTTGTCCTTTTTTGCACACTGTAAATGGGGAAATACAAACTCTTCTCAGAGATGTTGTTAGATTCTAACCCATAACTTCGGAGCTCAAAGGCAATTTTTTTGTCCTTTTCAACTTTAACATAGCCTTGTGCTGTGCTATGCTACCTGGGTTTCCTAAACCATAGGAAGGTGGACGGACTTTAACATGTTTCTTTAATGTCATAGTGTTTGCTAAAAATGCTTATGCAGTTCAGCCTTCATCCTACAGTTGTTCATCTCCCCAGCATGTGATATCCTGGTCTTGTTCCAGCTGTCCTGTTATTCACAGCTTTGAGGACTTTTGCCAGAATGGTGACAGGACCATCTGACAGCTATGCTGACAAGCACTCTTATGGGCATCTCCTTAAAAAATAAATGGTGTATAGTGTAAAATCCTTTGGAAATCCCTCATGCCATTCATCTCCCTTAACTGCTTGCCCACTATGGGGCTGTGGTGATGTTTGAAAAGAATTAAAGAAATTAGGTAGTATTTTTTAAAAACAATTTCATGTATTATTACGAAGTGATCATCATACAGGCATAGTACTTTTTAAAAAACAGTCATAGTGACATAAAGCTTTATGGTGGATTTTTAAGACTTTTTCTTGTGATAAACCAGCGGAGCTTCTCAGTGAAGTTTATGTTTGTCTATATGTAGTTAGTCACATGAGTCATATGATATAAGGATATAACTCGGTGAGATGTGAAGGATATAAATTATATAATTAAATGTAGAGGGCAACCTTTAAAATGTACCTAGTCCTCCTTTTAAAATCTAGGACAATATATTTCAGTTACTGCATATATGTAAAGAGAGTATCAAATTAAACAATTAAATGAAAGATTTATAACTTTCCTGCATATATTGCATCTATCTGAAA